GCTATCAGTAAATCTCGCAAATAATTTTTAATGAAAGTTTTGTTTAGTTTGAAACGATTCTCAAGCATATCGTTGTTCATACTATTGACTCAAATTAGTTATGAATGAGAATTAGATTGTGTTTTACGAGTTAAACAATAATACATAACAAACATTGTTTTATTGCTATACCAATCATAGGATTTCCATTGCAGTTATGGCATAATATAAGTATACAATTAAAAATATGATTCGTGTAATGCTGTAAATGAATTGAGTTTTTATTCTTAGACACGTTTATTTAAAAAAATAACACAAATTCCTAATACAGTTCAACACAACAAAACATGTTTTAGACAATGAATACACGATTTTTAGAGATGCTTTCATAATTATTCAATTAATCACTTGACTAGTTGTACACTAGTTGTAGGAAACAAGCAATCAATTAATATTTCCACAATTTATTCAAATTATATCCTTTCAAACATATATATTGAGGCAATTTATTTATAACGTAAGTAGTTTTAATACAATAAATATAAAAATGTAACCAATTTTCTCTTCATTAAACCTCAATCGTTAATTCATCGAATGTTTAAACAGTAATATTCTTTACAATTATAATTATAATGAATGAGAAATGATTGACAAATGAATTAAATAATTATGAAATATCTTAATGTTTGAAAAACATACAAATATCTAAATATGAGATTCTTTAGTAATCGTGACATTTCGGGAATAAGATCTTTGTATATAAATTGGCGGATAAGCCGTATAACTAAAGCCATTGTGAGGCAAACGTATTGGTAATCCTATAGTATTAATATCGCCGGAAAGCGATTCCTTCTGTGGCTCTTCTTTGATGGTGTGATCGATGAGATGATTGGCCGCCGAAACCGCTTCGGTGTCGCTTTCGGGCGTATTCTTAATGCATTCCAATGGTTCCGATGCTTCCGAGGCTTCGGGTGATGTCTTTTCGACAGATTCCGTATTTTGTGTAGTTTTACGAAAAGAGAGTGAAATTAACATAAAAACAACTGAAAGGAGAGCGAAGACACCGCCGATACACATGAGAACAATTGAGATGATATAAGGGGTTCTATTGAGCTCTTCTCTGGACTGCAAAATGAAAGGGTTGTCACGGAATGGAGAGGTCGGCGACACCGAAGACATTGCTATTATGATAATGCCTGCCATCAGAAGTATAACCCCGAAACTGATAGCACCGGCAGCACAGGCACAGCTCACAAACGATGGACTCACAGCTGGACTCAATGTTTGAGGCATTGAACAACTGTTTTGTTGGCAATACACTTAACAACTGTTTGCTAAAAGCAATTGCATTTTTATTGTGAACTCAATTAAATTTGAAAAATTTTTTGGAAGAAACTCAATGATTATTGCAATTGTGATCAAACATAATATGCTATTAATCTATAAATGCCAGTCATTACTACCAATAATATCAATACAATTGTGATATAATTCCGCAAAGAATTTGAAAATAATAGCAAAAATCAATAGGTTTTTGAATGAATTAATAAATAAAATTAATAAATGCATACATATATGGATGAAATAATTGTTTGCATCATTTCGAGTATTTTATTTTTGAATGAAATGCAAAAATTGAAGAGTTTTTTGATAAAAAAAGTATATATCACACAATTGGCACTTACTTTTAAAATTTGGTATTTTTTGTTTAAAATAAACGATTTAATGAGCATTTGTTAATAAATTTGTTAAATAAAAAAATCTAAAATACAAAACATAATTATTTATAATATTTATTACAATATTTATATATATAATTATAATTAGAAAACTATCTATTTATTAGTTTGAAGTAATTTTTTGGATTTGTGTCGATATTTGCTGACAAAATAGGACTGTCTGTAGAAAGAGGCGAAGAGTACGAGAAAAAGGGCCGCATTTACTATCGATAAATAGCTGAAGGCTTTGGGCGCCGAACAGTTGGGCAGAAACAATAGGCGAACGCTATTCGTTATAATGAGCACGAATTGAATGATTTGAAGTTTGGTTAAATACTTTTTCCACCACAAGTACGGCTGTAATCGGGGTCCGAAAGTGGACAGAGCGTAGTAACAGTACATAATCACGTGAACCAATGAATTGATGTATAGGAAGAAGGCGTTCGCACCGCCCGGAAGAAACTTGAAGCCAATCCACACCAGAATCGGTACCATCGAGTGGTGTATGATATGAAGGCCCGAGAGTTGGCTGTATTTCTTGCGCAGAATGAAGAACACAGTGTCCGACAACTCGATAAACTTAGTGATGAAGAAAGTCCAGCCCAACAGCAGTTTGCGATCCTCTATGGGATCGTTGGCGTTATGGTTGACGGGCTGACAGCCCCACGTGTCGAGACCCCAATTCAATAGCAGACACGCTTCGGTAAACATCCAAACGGATATCATTACCATAAATACATTGTAAATAAGGATTATCTTCTTTAAGTCGAACGCATTCCGGCCTTTCATTAGTTCCGGACCGAAGACTTTGACGAAATACAGGTACGATGCGATGATGGCCAGCGTAGACCAGGGCCCGCCCCGGAAGAATGGCCACGAGGCCGAGCGCGGGTCGTCGTACAGTTGCCACATATCGTAGTAATAGAAGTTGAATGACTTGTCTGATAGCAATGGAGACCAATTTGATGCCAAAGACATTCTCATAGAAAAAGTTGTTCCCAAACGCTATACGAATAACAGTTGTTTGTTAGAAGTTTTTATTATATTTATCTAATTTTATTATTATATTATTTGTTTGAAACACTTTCTATTGTCGCTCATATTCATTGTAATAATAAATATTTTTACTTACATTTATAAATGTGTAATAATCCGAAAAATAAATGTCAAATTATTAGATGAAAATAAACAAACAGTTAAATTAAAGACACCGTTGAAAAAGTTGGAAAATTGTGTTAAATTAAAACTATTGAACTATAAGTTGTGATACGAAACAGATTTTTGAAAATAAAACTTTTTGGGCACAAAAAAAATATTTCATTTACACCTCATCTTGAGAGCCAAGAAAATGTTATTTCACATACAATCCAAACATAGTTTCATCGATCAATTGTTTAGACTGTTTATTGTTGGGCTTCAATGAGGAACTAATAGCTGGTACTCATCTCTAACTTCTTTAACACTATTAACTCAAATCTAATGCATTGAGTCTTCAAATATTAGGGTCAATGCCTTTGATGTGAATGTTGGTCACAGAACTCAATATTAGGTCATTTGTATCTGTTCTGCACTAACATCAGGGCTAATGACCACAAAGTCCTCACTCTTTCAACTTATTTAGAAGTCTAACTATTAATAGAAACAAATGAGAAACAAATCGATTCCAAGTTTCGATTACTTCTTTCCCGACATATTTCTCTCCCATTCCTCTACTTCTCCAATCCTTTACATGTTTTCACTCAACTCTTCATTTATTTCTTAATTATTGATTTTTTGCTAAATACATGATTTTGTTTATTCTTATTACACTTTATAATCGGTTTTAATGCAAAATACATATTAATCGTGTTGCGAAACAATCTGCAGACTATTTTCGATAGTCTATCAATTAATTCAATTATTCATTAACACAATTATAGTGAATAATTTAATAAACGCTAATTAGTTATGAATTTTGTTTGGTTTTCAGTTTCTATAACTAGTTTTATAGAGTAATTTAAATATACTCTAAAGTTAACTAAAATTAACGAATATCTCTAATGAAATCATTAATTTTCATAAAAATACTTTCTTATGATTGCATTTAATGTTCTCTTTATTTTCCAAATACTTATTGTAAAACTGGTTTTCAATTTAGTTTGAAAATGTCTTCAATAACACAAATTGTTGTTATTATTAATAAATATTTATAATTCATTATAATATTTAATATTTTAAAAACTCATACAATAAGCCAATAATAAATGCTCTCAATTTTTTAACTAAACTTTTATTTTCATAAAATACAATAATATAACGCAATATTTTCTTCACAAAATCACATATCTGTGAATATTTTGCGTCTAATTATCAATTAAATTCAAAATACTTGGCAAATATGTTATTTAAAAAAACTAGATTCTTTGTCTCTAAATAATCATTATTATTAAAACAAACCCATAATTATTTCTTATTATAATTTATAACTTATAAATTAAGACATGTGTTGTGTATATAAAGCAATTCATGAATCTTTATTTATCTCATAATTACATCAAATATAAGATCTTTTTTTTATTAAAATTTAAATCTTAATTATCATTTATATGAGAAATAAATCCACGATTTTATATTCCCATGAAATTGAAATTCATATTGAAATTTCAACAAAACTGTCAAAGTTTTAGAGTATTGTTACGTTTGCTTTCATTGAGAATTTTGTACAATAATTGATTGGTAATAGTTTTCGGTGGAGTATGTGTTGAATTGTATGCATTTTGACGCCACTCAACACTATTGCTGAGACAATCAAATTTGAATTATGCATTAATATTCAACAAAACAATATTGAATTTACATAAATTTTTACAACATTTATGACTTACATTTGAGGTGCGGATTGATTCACCCCAAAGATTGACAATCAATTGGTCGTACATTTCTGTTAATTTAATCATTAAATCAATCAAATTATTCAGAAAAGTTATAAATAAATGTTACTTCAGTTCCGATGTATGGATTGTTTGCGTATAAAAATAGAGAAATTATATGAATTACAGGCAAAATCATGTTTGCTTTGAATTTAATTTAACTATATTTTTCAAA